TTATGTGTATGAGTGTATTGCCTGCATGTATGTGAGTGAACCCGTGTTGTGCAATGCCGCAGAGGTCAGAAGACGGCTCCGGATTCCCCTGGAACTGGAGTTCAGGACGGTTCGTAGCCGCCATGTGGGTGCTGGGAATCGAACTCAGGTCCTCTGCAAGAGCAGTCAGTGCTCTTAACCACTGAGCCATCTCTCCAGCCCCATCCATCTTTTCTTCTTTACCCTGGTCTCTCCTTTCCTTTCTTAACTGGCTCAAAGGACCTGGGGGGTCACTGAACAGGGCCTGTCAGGCAGGAGTAACTTGGGAGTGGGGAAGAAGTGGGATTGGACACTGGGGTTGTGTGGTGGCAGATACTCAACAGGAACACTCTCTCTTCTGAGAGCCACCTCTGCCCTCAGCACTCAGTCCCAGTAGTCAAGGTATTGGGTCCACACACCCTTAACCTATGTTGTGAACAGATCTGGATAGAGACCTTGGACCTAGGGCAGCCCTACCCTGAGCCCACCCTTTGTACCCAAAAATGGGAGCCACTGAGCTAGCTTGCTCCTCTCTGGGCCTGTGGTTCTGAGGATCAGCCTCGGAAGTTTGCTTATCAGTTGGCCAGGAGTATCCTTCGTCCACTCTGGGCAATCAGATCCCCTCTCCTAGGAACTGGGATGCTAGGTTCTGTGCCACTCCTATGAGGGATGGAGACTAACTGGGGTGACAAAGTGTCACCTGGGGACATCTCCTTGCCTTAGAGTCGATGGTAAAGTTGGTCGGTAGAGAGGCACAGCAAAGAGGTCTCAGGGAGATAGGGAGTAGTTAGAGCAACCATATTTAGGTCCTGTGTCCACAAGAGCAGCCGCCACTCCACTTAGGGTTCTAATAAGCAGCTCTAGCCCCCATACTGTCCTTGGTCTTGGTTCTGGTTCCTGAGATGAAACCCCACCCAGAGAGTCATGGATTGATGCTCCCACTGGTTGGAAAAGAGCCACCATTAGGGTGGTGAGCTTCAGAGCATTGGTGCTGGGTTTACACAAGGAGGATCAGGCTTAATAGGTATGGTTGGACAAGTGGCCAGAACCTGGATTCCTGCCAGGTCTGGGAACTGCAGGCAGAGCACCAAAGGGATACCAAGAGGAGTCCTGGTTAGACATCCCCTGCCCTGAGAGGCCACGAGGCAGGGCCAGATCAATGAGCAAGGGTCAGAGGTGTTGGTCCTGTAGGAGAGCCAACAGCCTGAGGGGGTCCTGACATCAGCAAGCACCAGCACTTGTGAGACCTCTCAGCTGTGTGGGTTTTGCTGGGTCCTTGTAGTGAGACCCAGAGCCATGCATGGACTGGACATCAGCAGCCAGGACCACCCCAAGGTGAGGCATGACCCTGCCCAGATGAACCCACCAGCAGGGGCTTCTGAGGTAGAGAGGATTCAGGTGACAATCCGGAAGGAGGTACCAGAGGCTGCAGTAGGGACTGAAGTAAGGGTAGGCAGCAAGGAGGTGTTATGTTTTCAAGTTTAACAAGAACTAAACTGAGTACCTATGAGCCGGGTAGCCCTTAGCAAGTGGCTTACCCTCTCTGAGCTTTGGATTTCTTACCTGTAAAATGGGAATAATACTATCTTCTTTCAGGGGATGTAACTGGGGATTAATGAGCTAATATACCCAAAGCATTAGGCTCATAGCAACTCAATGGTGGTGCAGTTATTATAGTTAACATGATTTTTTTTTGAGACAGGGTCTACCTGTAGCCCCAGCTGGCCTGGAACTCACTATTGTAGACCAGGCTTGCCTTGATCTCACAGAGATCCATCTGCCTCTGTCTCTTGAGTGCTGGAATTAAAATTGTTGTTCTTGTTGAGACAGGGTCTCCTGTAGCCCAGTTGAGGCTGACCTTGAACTTCTGATCCTCCTGCTTCCATCTCCCTAGCACTGGAACTACAGACTTGAGCTACCACACCCAGTCTATGCAGTGATAGGGATCAAACTTACAGCATCACTTTACTAGGCAAACACCACACTACCACCTAAACTATATCCCTGGTCCTTACTGTTTTATTTTTTTAAGGCAGGCTCTCAGCTCAGGCTGGCCTCAGACTCACTCTGTAGCTGAAGATGATCTTGAACTTCTGCCTCTATCCCACAAGTGCTAGGATTACAGGTGTGCACTAGCACACCAGGCTTATAATTTTTTTAATTTTTGGTCTTTTTGAGACAGGGTCTCCCTGTAGCCCCAGCTGGGCTGGAACTTACTTTGTACACCAGGCTGGCCTTGAACTCACAGAGATCCACCTGCTTCTGTCTTCCAAGTGCTGGGACTAAAGGCGTGTGCCACCACAACTGGCTTCAGGCTTATAATTATTTTTAAACTCAAAGACCAGGCACACAGTGTGTACAGAAAGGCTTGAAATTCAGGAAGAAGGTCTAAGCCCTGTAGAATTGATCATAAGTGACTAGGTCTGAGGCAGAGATGGGGCAGGAGCCAGTACCCTGAGAAATGAATCTGCCAGTCAGCAGGCTGGACTGTGGTTGGGACCCTATGAAAGGCCAGAATACCTCAGATCCCTCCCACCTTGGGTTTGGATTGGGGTAGAGTCTTGATGGGTGAGGCTGGTAGGAGGAGCTTAAAGAGTAGACATGGGGCTGGGCTCCGAGTCCCCTTGACTCGCCATTTTTTAATTTATTATTTATTATTTTAATTTTATTTTATGTATATGAGTATATTGCTAGCATGCATGTAAGTGCACCCATGTCATGCATTCTTGCAGAGGTCAGAAGAAGGCATTGGGTCCCCTGGAACTGTAGTTACAGATGGTTGTTAGCCACCATATGGGTGCAGGTTAAATTGAACCTGGGTCTTCTGCAAGAGTAGTCAGTGGTCTTACCACTGAGCCGTCTCTCCAGCCCTGACTCATTAGTCTTTTATTTTTAATTAATTTACTTTTATTTTATATGTATGAGTGTTTTGCTTGCATATATGCCTGCGTACCATGTGTGTGTAATGCTCACAAGAGGCCAAAAGAGGGTATCGGATCCCCTAGAATTGGAGTTACATTACAGACGGTTGTTAGCTGCTAAGTGGGTGCCGGGAACTGAACCTGAGTCCTCTGCAAGAGCAGTCAGTACCCTTAACCAGTGAGCCATCTCTCCAGCCCCCAGGTACCAGTTTTTGTAGAGCTGGCACGTATCTGTGCCAGCTCAGACATGCACTGATGAGAATCAGAGGAGGGAATGCATGGGCTGAAATAGTTCCTGCTTTGAGGGGGAAGTGTGGCCTAAATGCATGTTTAAAGGATGGTTAGACCACCAGAGTGAAAGGCTTTCAGGTGGAGACACCAGAGCAGGTATGCTTCAGAGAGAAGACACAATCTTGTCACAGGCCGGAACTCTAGTGGGCACTGGGGAGCCATTGAAGGTTTTTGAGCAGAGCCATGACATTTGTTCTAATGAATGATTTAGCATGTCTTAGGCTGGAAGACACTAAGAGGGAGGGCATCCAGGGGGAATCCAAGACTGTTAGACTTTGAGGAAGAAACTTTAATCTCTGAGTCTGCAGAATGTGAAGTCACAGCACATAGACCATTAGGGGCTAGGGGCTGCCGGAGCCATACTGCTTTTTAAAAATCATTTATTTATTTATTATTTTTATTTTATGTGTATGAGTGTATTGCCTGCATATATGTGAGTGCACCCGTGTTGTGCAATGCTGCAGAGATCAGAAGAGGGCTTCGGATTATCCTGGAACTGGAGCGAAGGATAGTTCGTAGCTGCCATGTGGGTGCTGGTCCTCTGCAAGAGCCGTCAGTGCTCTTAACTGCTGAGCCATCGCTCCAGCCCCAGAAACATAATGCTTTAAGATAGGTCTTGGGCCAGGTATGGTGGTGCATGCCTTTAATCCCAGCACTCAGGAGGCAGAGGCAAGTGAGTCTCTGTGAGTTCAAGGCCAGCCTGGTCTGAATAGCAAGTTCCAAGCCAGCTGGGGCTACAGGGAGACCTTGTCTTAAAAACAAGAAACAAAAAGGAGAAGTCTTGGGGCAAGAGGGCAGATCTGCCTGGAGCCTGGCTCTACTGCAGGATCACAGACATTGTTCCATCCTCTGGCCTGTGTCCCTCTTCTGTAAGTTAGCTATGGGGCACCCTGTCTTCATGGAGGGCCATGGGCCTAAAGGGAGGAAGGAAAGGGCAGAGCTAAGCGTAGATAGAGTAAATGTCCTGCCTGGCCTCCCACTGTGCACTGGCCCTGAATGACATGCAGACAGTCTAGCCTTCCAATTGCCTCCAGTTAGGGGGAGATTTAGAAAAAATGTGTACCTATGTGCATGCGTGCATATATGCATGTGTGTGTTTGTATGTGTATCTGTTTGTGTGTGTGTGTATGCTGTGTGTATGTGTGTGGTGTGGGCACATGTGTGAGTATGGAGGCCAGAGGACAACATTAGGCTTCATTTTTCAGGAACCTCCTTTGAGACAGGCTCTCTCATTGAACCTGGAGTTCATCGATTAGGCGGTAAGACTAGACTGGCCCGGGAGCCCAGTGATTGCCCTCCCTTCCTCTCACCTCACCCCCATCTCTGTTTCCCTGAGCTGGGCTTACAAGCACCTGTGCCACACCCAACATTTTTATGGGTAGGTGCTGGGGATTGAACTCAGGTCCTCATGATTACATGGTAAGCATTTTACTGACTGAGCCATCTCCCCAGTCCCTAAGGATTCATTCATTCATTCATTCATTCATTCATACTTCATTCTTCAGTCATTCTTTGACTAACATTTCTGACCTCTACTAGGAGCCAGGTACTGGGACTAAGACTCAGACTGGACCTCTGTCTTTTGGCCTTGAAGAGTTTATTTACTCATTTGTTCCACAACATCCTCAGAACTCTGGGTTTTGGCCAGCCAAGAGGTGGTGTCAGGAATACAGAAAGAATTGCTGGCAGGGGAGGCAGGGAATGATTTGATGCTGAGGTCATACATCCACATCAGGGAAGAGCAGGAACCCGGAGAAGATGCTGTTGGCCCCCTCAATGGCCAGCAGAGAGTTCTTGTCCGTGGCCTCCAGGTAAACGACCTCTCCCTGCTCCAGCTTCAGGACCACACCACCTGTGGTGACCTGGAAGGTGTTTGGGGCATAGTCACAGAAGGTAACTACCTTCTGCATGCGATCCCAGCCTCGGACAACATTGACACACAGGTTCCCTCGGGAGCTGGCATGGTAGGTAAAGTAGTAGAGACCAGGCACCCTACAGGTGAACTTGCCATTCTGTGGCTGGTAGTTGTTGTTCATGTTGGTGATCACGTTTTCAAAGCGGATAGATTGTTTCTGCTTCAGGTGAATGTTGGAGGTCCTCAGGGCAGAAAAGGCTACTTTCTGAGTGGCCCTGTAGTCTCCTGAATCACCCTTAGGACCAAAGAGTCCAGAGTGCCCGGGTGCACCTACAGGGCCAACAGGGCCCCTTGGGCCAACTTTGCCTGGAATCCCTGGGATCCCTGGGTCTCCTTTCTCTCCAAATTCACCATGGTCTCCAGCCAGCCCTGGAAGCCCTAGAAAACAGAATCAAGAGAAAAGAGGACTCAAGGTCACTGTGACCAAAAGACTGGCCTGGGGTCTCTGGGCTCAGCTTCCTAATTATAAAACAGTGGGGCTGCCAGAGAGAGCCTTCCAGGTTTCTTCCAGACCAGCTCTTAAGTCTGTGTTGGGTTTCATGGTCATAGAGAACTGATGCCCAGGGGAAGGGGAGAAGACCCCCATGGAGAAGGGCCTGTCCTTGTCCCCAGCTCACACAGCACCCTTATCAACCTTGACACATGTCACTCTCTCTCTTCCCTCACCCATGGCAGACATCCTTAATTAATCACAGCATTCCGCTGCCTGTACCTAGATGTGAAACGTAGAATCCCTCTTATATCATCACTCTGGGCAGCCATGGCCCTTTGGTTTGGCACATCATAAAACTGAAAAAAAGAGAGAGCATGTGTGTGCTCTGGAGACACAGATTGTGAATCCTATGTCATACCAGCCATTGTTAGTTGTGTCACCTTGACACAATGAGTCACAGTCTCTCAGGCTGTTTCCTCTTCTGTAACATGGTGGTGATTGTCTGATTGTATTTTGAGGAACCATGAGGGTGCAGTGGGCTTTTGAAAGGAGAGGAGCTGCCATAGAGGGTTAACCCAAGCGAAGAATCTTCATGAGGGGGTCTCCGTGGCAAGGAGCCCCTCAAGCCTACATCTTTCCCTACTTACAGATAAGGAAGCATAGCCACTTATTCTGGATGAACCTAGGACTGAGGGGCTGTGTGGTGTCCACCCTCTGGGCACAGAGTAGGAGGAGCCCCTGTCCTGAGCCTCAATAACTGGGCTACCATGAGGAGACATTAGTCTTTCCACATACCAGTTCTGTCTGCAAAAGGGTAATCACAATCCCCTTCTAGAAGACTTACTGGATTTGTGAGTGCTTTTGCAATTTCTTTCTCTCTCTCTCTCTCTCTCTCTCTTTCTTTCTTTCTCTCTCTCTTTCTTTCCTCTTTCCCCTTCCTTCCTTCCTTCCTTCCTTCCTTCCTTCCTTCCTTCCAGTCTTTTCATTGGTTGTTTTTTGACAGGGTCTCCCTAGTCACAGCCCACCTGGAAGTCACAATGTGAACCAGGGTGGCCTTGATCTCACAGAGATCCACCTGCTTCTGCCTCTGATGACTGTGTCTTAGGAGACAGAACATGGGGCCTTTGATCAGGGATGCTTATGTTTCCTGAAAGCATGCAGTACCTTTTTCTCCCTTTATCCCTTGAGTCCCAGGTTGACCATCAGAGCCATGAACCCCAGGGATGCCAGGAATGCCAGGGATGGCTGGGGGCCCAGTACAACTGCTCTGGGCCCAGGATATGTGGAGAAAGCCCAGGAACAGCAGTGGCAGCAGTGTTGAGACCTTGCCCCACTGAGTCTTCATCGCTGCACTTTATGGCCTCCTACAGGGTGAGAAGATGTGGGAGGTTACTGCCATGGTGGCTCCCATCATTCATTAATCAGTCCCTTCACTTGTTCATCCATGCATCTGCCCATTCATCCTTTACCCATTCATCCATCTACCCATCTCTCTATCTACCCATCCATCATTTGTCTCCAACCATTCGTCTATTCTCCATCCATCCATTCATTCAATAATCTTCATCTATCCATTCATCTAATTACCCACCTATCCACCTCTCCAACCATTCATCCATTCTCCATCTATCTACCCATCCACTCATTCATCTTATTCATCTCTTCAGTCATTCATCTGTCTACCCATCATACATCTCTCCTACTGTCCATCCATTCACCCATCCATCTATCTCTCCATTTATTTACCATCTAGCCATCTGCCCATCCATCTCTCTATCTATCCATCCATCCACCTAATCATCTACCCATCCATATATTCACAGATTGCCTTTCATCCACTAGACCCTGGGGGTACAGTGATGACAAACAGACATGGTCCTTGGCCTCAAGATCCTTTGTCCCTAAGAGAAGGCAGTCAACAAATACACAAGAAAAAAAAATGGTTATGGACTGGAGCATGGGAAGAAGAGCAGCAGTGTGCTGATGGAGGGGGACTGGGTTGGAGTTGGGAGGGGATAATTCCATCAGGATGGTCTTCAGATAATGTTTTGGCTGGGACCCGAAGGTTCAGAAAGGGCTGGAGCAAGAATGTCCTGAGACGGGACAGAGGATAAACCATTAAGGCTCAGCAGAGGCTGCATGAACAGCACCAACGTGAATGCTGGGTGATCCCTCAGTGTCTGAACCTGGGTATGTATGTAGGTAATGGCTACGTGGTGTGAATGCTTAGTGATACAAAGAGGATACTGAGACTCAGGGAGGCCAAGTCACTTGCTTAGGTCGTATGGGAAGAAATGGTGTTGAAGTCCTTGTCAGTGTCCCAGGCCATCTCTGGGATTTCTCAGGAACTGCGGCTCAGTGAGAGAGCAATGTGGCCCCTTTCTCATCCCAGGGAACTGGGAAGAAGGCTGTGGGCTGCTTTGAGCAGGTCAGCCTGGTTGTTCCCAACCTGCAAGCCTTGAGTCAAAGCATTTCCCCCAGGAAGCTTCCCTGAGTTCCCCACCTCATTGCACAGAGCAGAGCTCTGCATGTCTCTGGGTAGCCTTGGAGATCCAGGTGAGATGGTGGATAAGAAAGCGTGGGAAGCCCCAAAGCTCTCATCAGGATCTGTGGCTGCTGGACCCTTACAGCAGTCGAGAAGTGAGTTGTGATGAGTTACTCATCTCACAGATGAGAAAAACAGTATTAAACATCACCCAGCAAGCTGCTCAGAGGTGGGACTTCTCCCTGGCCATAGCTTTCTGATCTATAAAACATAGATAATGTTGAACTCCCCCTTGCAGAGTTGCCATGAGGTCAGATGAGTGACAGCTCGGCCTGTTTGTCGTGCTCAATGCATGCTTGTGATTTTATTATTATCATCAGCAGGAAGCCTGAGTTCAGGGAAGGAAGATGACTGGAAAGGTGAAGAAGGATGGGGCTGCCTATGGGATTCAGGCTCAAGGACGAGGGACAGAGGGGAAGGCCTTCAATGTAGTCCATATTGGGAGCTCTGAGACTTGGGGAAGCCTTCAAACCCTCCTGGTTGGGCCACCTGCCACTTCTGCCAGCTTATCATCATCACAGCCCTTCCATCTCTTTCCAGCTCCAACATGGAGTTAGACCAACCTGGCTTTGAACTCCCCTCTGCTGCTGCCTGGCTGTGTGACCTCAGGCAGGTGTGTTAACCTCTCTGGTCTTTTTTGAAACAGTTTATTTCTGACTTACAGGACTGCCATGGGGTCAAATGAGAGGACTCAAGGAGGACTAAGGTCCCTTGGGCAGTGAATAACCTTCTCACTCAGGACTAAACAACAACAACCTCCAACTCCAGCTGCACATCAAATGCTGTCCTTACAGAAGGCAAACCTACTGGCCTCAGCAGCATACAGGAGCAAGGATGCTGGGGGGACATGTGATGCTGGGCAGAGGGCACCTGGGTTCTCATCTCTCCTCTGCCTCTGGATCAGCTGACATGTTTGAACCCATAGGTGCACTGAGGTTGGTTTCCTATAGGGTTCACTGCACCTCTGAAAGGCTCTGTTCTCTCCAAAGGGGATGTGGAGCTCAGAGGTATGATGAGACTTGCTGGAGATGACCAGCATGTGAGAGACAGAAATGGAATTTAGTTCAAAACTGTAGCTTCTGAGGTATGATGCTAGACGCTCTGGTTGCAAGCTGCCCACCTATACCCTGTGGCCCAGATAGCCACAGACCCCCTTCAGTTCACCCCAGAAAGCCTATGCCATGGAACTGGGATTGGGCCCAGTGATTTCAACCCAGTTAACATTTAAGGTATTCTGAACAGGAGACAAAGCCTGTACTTGGTGAGTCCCTCAGCCCCGGACCCCGCCACAGCCCAGTGTGCTCACCTGGAGACCCAGAGCTGATGTCCTGTGATGCTCCTGTCCAGGCAGCTGTGGACCTGGAGCCCAGAGCCTGCAGCTGTCCACTCAAAGCGGAAGTTCGCCTTCCTCTACGGTCCCCTCCCAAAGCTCAGCAGGCTGCCCCCCTCTCCGTCACCCCACTTTTCCCCCATCCTGCTGCCCTCAGGCAGTTTCATGTCCTGTTCCTGTAAATGGTGGCTGTGGCCAGCATGGTTTTGCAGGCTCAGCAGCTGTGGGGGAACAGCCTGTCCTGGGGGAATCTCCCTAGCTGGTGGCTCGCCTGCCAGGGCCCTTGGAGTACATGACTCCCAGAGACTCCCATGGGGACTGGTGCTCCTTGATGGATGAAGGGCTTACCTGGTGTCTGCACCCTGGATTCAGAGTCAGAGACCCTGATTCCTATCCTGGCCCTGCCACTTGCCAGCTTTCAACAGAGGGAGTGCAAGGATGCCCCAATTTTGCCCGCTGCTGTATGATGGAGACATAATTGTACCTATTTTATGGCTCTCACAGGCCAGCAGGAGGATGGTGGTGGGATTGGGGGAGGGATGAGCAAACTGTAGAGCACAGGGCACATGAATTGTTAATGTCACTTTATGTCCCAGGCTTCCCCTTTCTGGTCTTATCTCTTCTGTTTCCTTCACACTTCTGTCCCCTGCTCTTCTCCCTGCCTTCAGAAAATAATCTAATAATGAATTTTAAATGCACACATTACATATTCATCCCCCCCTCTGCTCCCAGTGGGGTTTGGAGCCCTTGACAATAATAGTTACAGGCAGGAGACTGTTGCATGCAGATCCTGAGATAACACTGAGTTAGAGCTACAGAAGGCCTTGAAGGTCACTGTGCCCACCCTGCCCCTCATTTTACATTCGAGGAAACTGAGGTCCAGAGGCATAAATCATCCTTCAGTATTTCTTCTGAAGTACTATGACCTATGGCCTGGGGAACTATGAGTCTTGTCCTTGTGGAACCTCTTGGGGGAGACTGGGGTTGGACATAGAGTGTTCCTATGATAAATGCCACAGAACAGCAGTGACAGTCAGGGCCCACAGCCTGGGCAGGAGGGGCTGGTGCAGGACCCAAAGTTGGAGATGGCTGGGGCTGGGGTCTAGCTGTGATGCTGTGGCTGTTTTTATACCCAGGTGCTGCCCCACTCCAGGATGGATACCCCAAAAACGTGGAAGATGCTTGGAGAGGGGACAGCTTTTGGCTTGTGGGTGCCAACTGTGGATACAAATGAGGCATTAACTATAAGGGGTGAGAAGAAAAGAGAAGGTTAAGTGTGATAAAAACCAGATGTCTGGGGCTGGGGAGTTGGATCAGTGGTTAACAGCACTGACTGCTTTTGCAGAGATCCTGGGTTCGATTCCCAGCACCCACATGGCAGCTAACAACCACCTGCAACTCCAGTTCCAGGGGATCCGACATTGTCTTCTGACCTCCACAGGCGTTGCCTGGCACAGGTTCACTTATATACATGCAGTCAATACACTCATACACAAACAATAATAAGTAAAAATATTTTTATTTATTATTTTAATTTTATGTGTGTGAGTGTATTGCCTACATGTATGTAAGTGCACCCATGTTGTGCAGTGCCTTTGGGGTCAGAAGAGGATGTTGAATTCTCTGGAACTGGAGTTATGGATGGTTGTTAGCTGCCATGTGGGTGCTGGGAATTGAACCTGGGTCCTCTGCAAGAGCAGACAGTGCTCTTAACTACTAAGCCAATTCTCTAGCCCCTATTATTATTTATTTTATTTTATTTTATTGAGACTAGGTCTCACTATGTAGCCTTGCGTACCTTGGACCTCACTATGTAGACCAGGCTGGCCTTGAACTCACAGAGATTCACCTGCCTCTGCCTCTCGAGTGCTAGGATTAAAGGTGTGTGCCACTGTGCCTTATTTATTTATTTTTGAGACAGAGTTTCACTATGTAGCCCAGGCTGGCCTTAAACTCAAAAGCCTTCTGCCTCTGCCTCCCAGTACTGAGATTACAGGCATGCCTCCATGATGCCTAGCCTTAAGTCTTTCTAAGGGTCTCAAAGTCACTTAGGCTGGTCTCTGATTCCTAGGTAATTGATAGCAGTGAGAAAGGGTCAGCTTAAAGTTGAACTTGGGGGAGAAGCATTGAGGTAAACAGGAAGCAGTTTCAGTAGTTTAGGATAGTCATCCTAAGTTTGAACCCCAGCTCGGCCTCTCTCCCATCATGTGGGCTCAGGCACGTTGCTAACTTGGGCTCCCTCACATGTATATTGGAGACAAGGATGCCTGTCTCCTGGGGCATTGGTAGGACAGAGTAGGAAAAGAACCCTGAATGTCCAGGGCCAAAGTGCTATTTATATGAAGAGGGACCAGGCCTGGAGCATGGGGAGGTCTTGACTTGGGAATCAGAAGCTGAGGGGTCCCTGGGTCTTGGTCTCTGAATGGGAGGTAGGTTTGGTTTCTTGAATTTCTGATAAAAAGGGGTGAAAGCTTACTGGAAAGAAAAAAAAAACAAGTGAAACCCCAGCTGTCGGCATCCAAAGAGGACCCCTGCAGATGGTCTCTCTCTGCTTCCTGCCCCGTGCCACCCCTCAGTGTCTACCCACTCAGCACAGACAACAGACTGGCATGGGCTAAGACCTGCCCCTCTTGATGTGGCAAGGACAAGAAAACAATTATGAAAAATAAAAGAAAGCGACAAACTTTGTTGTTTTCCTGGCCCAGGCTTCTGTTCTGGCACCACACCCAACTTAAACACCATATTGATTTTTTAAACCAAAGCGAAATGAGAAGAAAGATGTATCACTTAGGGGCATCGCTGGGCAAACTGCTAAGTGGTTGATGGAGGGACAGCTGGACAGGCTGTGGCCAGTGACCCAGCCTGGCCCTGCGGAGCAATCAGATGTGGTGAGGCAGGTGGGGTTCCTAGGCCCTGGCGTCTGCTCTGTGTGCGTGCGTGTGTGTGTGTGTGTGTGTGTGTGTGTGTGTGTGTGTGTGTGTTTACTTCCCTCTTTCCTATCCTACACATTTCATGAACCCCTACTGCACTCCAGGCAGGCGTCACAGGGTCCCACATAGGGCTGTTCACAGGGGGACGCTGACCTGTGAGCAGATAAGTGAGAACAGTCATTTGGTGGATCATAGGGCCGTGTGCATGAGATACACCCACAGTCCTTCCGCTACTGTTTTGAGGAATGGAAATCTGCTTTTATGCGCTTTGTTTTAAATAAGTCTGTAGGCTAATTTTATACACCACCAGACCTTGGAATCTAGGTTCTAAAGATTCCCGAGTTTGGACTCGGAGTCTGCAGAAGGTGCTATGGGGTCCCATGGGGGAATCAGGGCAGGCTCCATGGAGGAGGTGAGCTTGGTGGAGGGGTATTACCTAGGTAGATGGATGAGGGTGTGAGTGGGTCGGGGAGTTCTACAGGATAAAGGGATGGTCAAGGTGAAAGCATGGACATGTGAATGACCCTTTCTGAAGCAAAAAGAGTGAAGTGGACATAGGTTACTGAGTTCATCTGTGCTAAGACCGATTGACTGATTGACTGATTGATTGACATATTGTGCTAGGGATGCATGCTAAGCAGGCACTCTACTGTGAGTTCCATAAGCCTCATGAACTTATGGGACCAGGCTGAGATCCTAGCCAGCTGGGACTGGATCTCCCAGACTGAGGAGCCTCCCTCACACCTCTCTTCCCCAGACAGTTGTATTTTGTGGGGTTTTTTTTTTTTTTAAAGCTTTTTCATTTTAAATTATATGTGTATATGTGTGTCTCTGTGTGGGTATGTGCATGTGAGTGCAGTGCCCCTTGCAGCCAGAAGAGGGTGTAAGATCCCTTGGAGCTGGAGTTGCAGATAGTTGTAAGCTGCCTGATGTGGGAGCTGGGGAATTGAACTCTGGTTCTCTGCAAGAGCGGTGTGTACCCTTAATTGCGGGACTCCCTGGTCCTGTAAGGACTGTAGTGACCAGGTCCTGCCATCAAGAACCTCACAGCCCAAACTTGGCAGCTTGTGGGCAGCTGTGTTTTAGGTGCTCTCTCGGGGTCCCTGGAGTCTGTGCATCACACATCTTGGGGTGCCTCCCTCTCCCATTCATGTCTATCTCAGAGCGTGAGTGTGAATGTTAAATGACTCACTTGTTGTGGGAGAAGCACTTAGCATCTGCTTGGTGCTCAGTGAACATTAACTACCATGAATTTTGACTTGCTTGTTCCTCTGCTCTTCTTTCAGTCATTCATTTATTTACTTCAGTGTCATTAATTCCCCCCAATTTGTCCATTCACTCAACATGAATTCACAGATGCAAAACCATAGACACCAAGTTCAAAGCCTCAACAGTGAGGAATCTGGGCCATGTATATTTAGTGACTGAATATTTTTATTCCTGGATCTCCCCACCTGAAAGAAAAAATGGTCCCATAAGGTATCAGTTAACCATCACAGGAATGGTCCTTGAAGGGCCTCATAGTCAGAGGACTGTCAGCTGGTGGGCTTCCTGGAGGAGACTGCAGTGTGGAGAAGGGTGTGAGCAAGGATTCAGGGAGTGGAGGGAGGGAGGGAGGAAGGTGGGCAGCTGCAGGCTGGAGCTGATCTGTCACTCTAGTCAGGGAAAAGCAAGAAGCCGGAGAAGACGCTGTCGGAGCCCTCAGTGCCCACCAAGCCATTGTAGTCATTGACTGCCAGCCACACCTCCTCGCCCACCTTCAACTGCAGCAGCACACCGCCCGAGCTGACCTGTTTGCTGCTGGACATGTGGTCACAGAAGGTGGTCACACTCCTGCCATTGTGGTACAGCTGCACGCACAGGTTGGCTGTGTGCGATGTGTGGTAGACGAAGTAATAGAGGCCGGGCACCTTACAGGTGAACTTCCCCGTGTTTGTGTTGTAATCCCCCTGAGGATTGGTGACTACTGAGTTGAACTTGACCAGACCATTGGCAGCTGGGTACTGGACAGTCTGTCGAGTGACCGTGAACACTGACTGGTGCTTCTGTTTGTATCGGCCTTCCTCACCTGGTTCCCCACGGGGCCCTGGGAAGCCAGGAGTCCCTGGCAATCCAGGTAGCCCCATGGGGCCATTTTTTCCATGATGGCCAGGCAGGCCAGGCTCGCCCTTCTGACCCTTGGGCCCTCGTGTCCCAGGGATGGCTGGGATTCCTGAAGAGAGAGCAGACAGGAAGGAAGTGATGGATAGGGGACAGGAAGAGGGACCCTGAGGGGTCCTGCAGTAACCTCTAGCCTTCACTTTGCAGAGAGCTCTGGATATAGGAAGGGTTTCTACTGCAAGTCCCACCTCCCTCTAACTTGACCTCTGACCTTGTCTGAGGTCCTTCTCTGTCTCACTTTCCATATATGTGGTAGAAAAGGGAGGACCAGAGAGCATCTGGTCAGAGCAGGTCAGGAACTCAGGGAACATCAGAGGTGAGACTATCAGCCAGAGGACCACACGTGGCCACAGGTGCCCTGTTCAGGTTGTGAGGTGTTTGAAGACCACTCTTAGCACTCAGAGCTCATACAGAAGTCAGGTTCTGAGTGTTTTGTTTTGTTTGCTTTGATACTGTGGCTTTGCTTTTTTTTTTTCTTTTAACAGAGTTTCCTGTAGCCTAGGCTGGCCTCAGACTCAGTATGTAGCTGAGGATGACCTTGAACTTCTGATACTCCTGCCTCCACCTCCTAAGTGCTGAGATTACAGGTGTGCACCATCATGTTTGTTTTGTGTGGTGCAAGGTTTTGTGCGTGCTAGGCAAGCACTTTGCTAACTGAGCCACATCCCAGCCCCTGCTGGTGGGTTTTCCTGATGGAAATCAGAAAGGCTTGGGAGAGAAAGATTTCCCTGGAGGCCCCTAGAGCATAAGATGAGTCCCTGGCATCAACCTCTTTAAGGCCCTTTGCCGGATTGATATATAATAATAATAATGTGTGTGCACATGTGTATATATGTGTGTGTGTGTGCTTTCATGTGCATGTGTGTATGTATGTGCTTTTGTATGCATGATATGATGTGTGCATGTGTGTAGATACATGTGTATGCATATATATGTGTGTATATATGTGTGTGCTTTTGCATGCATGTGTGGTCTCTGTTTGCATGTGTGTATATGCATGTATGTGAGTGTGTACCTATGTGTATGCGTATTCATGTTTTGCAAGTGTGTTTGCATGTGTGTATGTGTGTATGTGGAATTTTGTGTGTACGCATGTTGTATACATATATATGTATGTGTAATTGTGTGTATATATGTGTAAGTATGTGTTTATGTATGTGAGTGTGTGTGGGGGGGGGAGTCTGAAGACAGTCCTGTCTGATGTGTAGATTCTCAGTCATACGTGACTCTGCATTCTCTCCCATAAGGAGACCCTCTATGCACCCTCGGCCTCAGAGTCACACAAAGCTTGTGTCCCTTCCTGTCCCCTCCAGGGTAGCACGTCACACAGGGACCACTGCAGGGAGGGCAGCAGAAGTCCTCAAAGGGACTGCTCTCTCTAGCTGCTGCAACCCTGCTCCATCTGCCTCACCCACTGGGATACTGGCCTACCTCAGCTTCTCTCATATAACCCATGGAAAACAGGCCAGAGCCTCCCCAGACCTCCCTAAGGCAAGTGAGGTGGAGTTGGAGCCCAATTCTGCCCACCCTTCTGTTAGGCATCTTACTTGCTCTTCTCTTGCCAAGGGTCTACTTGTTCTTTGAGGTCTTACTCCAGTTTCCTCCTCCAGGAAGCCCTCCTTGACTGCCCCGACCTGTCCCCACTGCACCAGGTGCCTGGGCAGATTCCTTTTATGACAGATTTAGGAGCTTGAGGGCCTTTTATGCTCAGGGTTAAGAGTATGGGGTCAGGAACTCAGGAAGCTGAGGCAGGAGGATCATTGAAAGTTTGAGGCCAGTCTAGTCTACTAGTAAAAGAAAAAGTAAAGCCAAAATAGAGAAACAATAACAAAACAGCATGGGTTCAGGACCCAACAGACTGGCCTTTAGGCTGTGTGACCCTGGGCAGGTAGCTTCCCCTCTCTGAGCCTCTGTTGGTTATGAAGGTGGAACACAGGCCAAGCACACGGGAAGAAAAGCCCTGTAGTGTGAGGGAGGGCCTGGTGACAGTTGAGCAGGGCCATGTCAGCCTCCTAATGGGGAGGGGGCAGGATGACGAAGTGGAGAGGAAGCAAGTAGCTATGCAGGGCACTGGTTAAGAGTGAGGACTTTAAGTGGGACAAGATCTCACCATGTGACTTTGGGCCAATTGCTTGTTCTCCCTGAACCCCAGCTTTGACATTTACAGAGCACGGGGAAAATAAGCTTCCATGGGATTTTAGCCTCAGTTTTCCCATCAGTAGAAAAGGGCTGAGAATCTTATCTGTTCTGGCTGGTGAACAGCTGCAGAGAGCTCAGAGCTGAGTCTGGCGCCTGAGGGGGGGGGTCTCTATAACTGCCCTTGGCCAGCCTAGGCAGCCGTCAGGTATGAGGCTCCCCAAAATGCATCCCCAGGAGGCCTTCCTGGTGTACCCGTGAAATGAGTAATTCCTTCCAGGATGTTGGTAAGACGTCACTCTGGGGGCTGGAGAGATGGCTCAGTGGTTAAGAGCACTGACTGCTCTTGCAGAGGACCCGGGTTCGATTCCCAGCACCCACACGGCGGCTATGAACCGTCCTTAACTCCAGTTCCAGGGAAATCTGAAGCCCTCTTCTGACCTCCTCAGCATTGCACAACACGGGTGCACTCACATACATGCAGGCGATACACTCATACACATAAAATAGAAATAATAAAATATTTTTTAAAAATTCCACGCTGTGACTAGGAGTGAGGTGGACGGTGAGGAGGAAACATTTCTTCCTGCCCCAGTCCCCATGAGCTCCGCTCAGCCCTGCCCAGTCTCACCCATGCGGACTTCAGACATGCTTGACCACCTGGGGAAGCGTGCTTCCTCGGGGAAGAGGTCATCACCTCTGGTCTCCACTCCAACCCAACCCCAACTACCCACCCATCTCTTCAGCTCCTCCCCCACACCGATCAGAACGTTCTGCCTGGAGTTCTGACCTCACCCTGCATCCTGATGGACAGAGACCACCACATCTGTTAGGTACTTGGTCCTGTCTTATGTGCGAAACTCATTTGAAGCTTTCCACACCCCAAGAGTCGGGGACTAGCCTCTGTTTTACAGATGAGGAGATGTAGGCACTGCAAGCTGGCACAGAGGGAGGTGGGAGGCTAGTCTCTGTTTTACAGATGAGGAGATGTAGGCACTGCAAGCTGGCACAGAGGGAGGTGGGAGGCTAGTCTTTGACCCCATAGTCAGTGTAGCAGAAACAGGCAGGGTAGGTCATTGTCTCCAGGTGTTCACATGCAGGGTGGGTAGCAGAGCCCAGTGCAGCTGCTATAACAAGAGGCCACAGTGTTACTGCACCGCCTGCTGGGACAGGCGCTCTCCCTTGCTCCCTGTCACAAGATGGGGCAAACGAGCAGAGAGCTGGGGGGCTCCGGAGGTCCCATTGGGAGTGGAAGCCTGGGCTCTGGGGACAGAGGAACCAGGCCTGCAGAGAGAGGGCGCTTTGTGTTTCTTGCCCCAGACTCACCTGGCTCACCCTTGGGCCCTGGCAGTCCATCGTGCCCGTCCTTCCCGGGGGCCCCTGGCAGGCCTGGCATCCCTGGGATCCCGTAGCAGCTGGTGCTGGCCTGGCCCCTGAGTGGCAGAGCCAGCAGGAACAGCAGCAGGTGGAGTCCACGGTGGGGCTGGCAGCAGTTCCCCGTGTCCATTCTGGGGAGGGATCTGTTGGGGAGGGAGAGAGTTGGCACTTAGCCCCCTACCTGCCATCTTCCCCACTGCAGCCCCTCACCCTGGGGACATAAATGATGGTTTGGTAGATGGATGAGTGGTCAGGTCTCTTCTAAGGTCCAGGCTTGGGCTCAAACCAAGCTAATTCTGGCACCATAGTTCAGGAAGGTGTCCGGGGAAAATTGCCATTCACTCCCACCTGGACAGAACCCCAGCCTTACCTGAAGGTATAGGGGACTTCAGGCCTGGTCACAGAGATATCCTGGTCTCCCCGACAGGAGGACACAGTGTCAGAGTGGACAGAGAACTGCCCAGAGCAGGGCCAGTCACCTCTCCCCTCCCCCATAGCACCCCATCCCACATCCCCTTTCCAGTGATTTTCCTGACTTGACACTTTCTTTTTGGTTGTGGTTCAGGCTGACCACAGTGACTCTTCTGTCCATCTCTTCCTATCCCGGCCCTGGGTCATGTGTGTGGGAATGAGGAAGTGTCTGCTGCCCCCCAACTCCCAGGGCATATCAGGATGTGTGTCTCTCTGTGTGTCTGTGTGTGTGCCTGTGTACAGACCTGAGCCCAGGGCACAGAGGTCCCCACTGCCAAGTTGGCTGTTGTGTTTGTAGCCCCTCTATGGCATTCCCATGTCTGAGGTTCAATGGGCTCTTATCTTCCTAAGAGGAAGTTACAGTCCCTGTTTACAGAGGAGGAAACTGATGCTCGTCTTAAGTCCCACACTGAGTGGTCCTCAGAGTGACCCCTCTGCTGAACTGTCTCCCAGAAATGAGCTTCATATGAAGCTGTTAAGTGGTGGGCCTTATTCTAGAAATACCCATATACCATTCCACTTAGCACACGTCAGAAGTAGATGTCAGGATGGGCCTGTTTTGCCTCAGTGCACGGGCTGCTCTGGCTGTAGAGCCAGCAGCCTCGGCTTCTTGCTGGTCACTCTCCTGCCAACAGGCCCAGTGACCGGTCCCAGGCTCCCATTTTCCATGATGAATGTGGAGGACCAGGACATGAGTATTGCTGTCTCTTTCTTTGCTGAGGCTCCTGTCACCTTGATGGTCCTATCTCCCCTCCTCCCAACATCCTGACCCCCATCTTGCTTCCAGTCCTGGGGCCTGTGGTGGTCTTAGGCTCCTCTTTGTCTCTCTCCTCTGGTAGGACTTTTGTGATGAAAGAGGTATTGGGCAGTAGAGGGTTCCAGGCCAGCCTTTCTTGTCACCAGGGCTTGTAGTGAGGGAGCACCCCCACAGTGCATGGGGAAGACTCCATGCACCATGCACAGACGTGCTTCTCCTGTAGGGGCCAACAGTTCAAATACCCATCTGAGTGACCCTCAGGGCTGTGGGCCCCCTATTTGCCCCGTCACCTGTGGTCCAGGCTATAGGTGTGTGGGACGAGGGCAAAAATGTACTTGGTCCCTGGCGTCCCTGGCAGGTGAGGGATGGAAGGAACAGAGGTGGTGGGGTCTGCATTTGGGATGGAGGTGATAGAGCCGGTGGGTGCCTGCTCCCACCTTCTGTCCTGGTCTAGTCGGTGCCTGGCCCAGCACTTCCAGCAGGTGGCAGGCGCAGCCCGCACTCAATCCTCCCAGCCCCGCCTACCGATCTGCCTGGCTTGCTTCTCCCCTGAGAAGAGCAGAAATTTGCAAGTGAAGGGTGGGAGTGGGTAGAATTTCAGATTTCTCCACCTACCAGTTTAGGAGCCCACCTCCCCTGAGTCCCCTCACAGTGACAGAGCCCTCCACCTGTGGCCAGGCTACTGGGCTCGTAAGTAGATCCTCCCCCTTCCTGCAGGGTAGCCTTGGCACATGTCTCCTTTCATGGTGCCTTAGTGTCCTCAGTCATTTTACACTCTGTAGCACACGGGGTCCCAAAGATCAATGTCTTTCCCAGCTCATGTGGGGTGTGTGTATATATCGGGTAGGTAGGGGATCTGGGGCACAACAGACCAGGAATATCCAGGTGGCCTGGAGCTGAGGGGGATCTACTCTCTCCTGGGGTGCCCCACTTCTTCTTGACCCCAGAAGCTGCTGGCTGGGAGGGACAGAGCAAGAGTGTACATGATGGAGGGGACACGCAGGCTGTGTCAGGAGGACTCTGAGACCATGTGCACCAGTTAGGAATGGGACTGTAGTCTCCTGCCTCTCCAAGGACAGCCATGGGAGTGGGAGCATGTGAAGGGAGGGATGAGTGTGTCGGAGAGGATGTAGGCTCTCTAAGACTTGTACGTGTGAGCTATGCACACTGGATGTGTCTGGACAAGTGTCTCAGGTATGTGTGCATGCACATGCAAGCATATGTCCGTGTGTGTGTGTGTGTGTGTGTGTGTGTGTGTAACCAGTGTGCATCTCCAAGGGTGAGCATGGTGTGCTAATAGGGTTTTGGTGAGGGGTAGATGGATCTCCCACCAGGAATGTGGGACCTTATGAGTCTCAAGGGAAGTGTGTGAAACTACGATTGTTGTGAAACTGTTGTTATGACTGTGCATATGTGATTATGTGTGTATGAATGTTGTGAAACTATGGGTATGATTTTGTGAGTATAAGTGATTGTGTGTGGTTGTATGTAATTGTGTATATGGTACTGTGTGAGTATGATTTTTTTGTTGTCTCTGTGATTGTATGTGAGACTAGATACATGACTGTGTGTGAGAGATTGTGTGTGTGTGAAACTGCAAATTGTGTGTGATTTTGTGTGACACTGGTTGTGTGACTGTGTGTGATTTTACATGTGTGATTGTGTGTGAGGTTGGGAATGTAGTTGTGTGTAACTGTGTGACTATGCATGTTACACTGTGTGACACTGTATCTGTGCGTGTGACACCATGTGTGTGACACCACATGTGATGCTGCAGTGTGTGTAACTATATGTGATCTTGTATGTGACACTGTATATGACTGTGTGTGATTGTATATGTGACTGTGTAAGTGACTATGTGTATGACACTGTGTGTGACTTTGTGTGTGATTGTGTGAGCAGCACAGAGGTAAACCCAGCTTCTTTGGGGAAGGACCCAGGATACTGGCTATTCTCAGGGCTGAAGTCCTGGTCTCTTTATTTTGCTCTTAGGAAGGACAAGGTGGGACTTGGTACTTCTTGGCACCACTGAGATAGGACACGAAGGTCCTGGGAATACACACATGCGCCCAGGATCCTCAGGTCCCACCCTGTGCAGACTGCCCAGCAGGCAGTTGACAACAACCCAGTCTCTATGCCTGTGGGGTGGAAGCCCAGGACCCATTCAGGACCCCCAGTTCTGGGAGGACTGCTGGATGTCCTTTGGGCCATTTGCTTGCCCTCTCTGACTCCTGTGCCGGTGCCTGCTGGGCCAGGCTAGAGAAGCACCTGTGTGATTGGTTTAGTGTAGCTGGGAAGGTTGGAGAAAGTAATGGTGGTTAAGCCTGGGTTCAATCCCAATGCTGACCCTGAGATACTAACCTGGGGATTGATGTTTCCAGTCATCATCTGTAAAGTACAGTAAGGGCACCCACCTTAGAGTTTGGTAAAGACTGAACAAAACAGAAGATGGGCAGGCCCTGTCTGCAGTTTTCATTGATCCCTCAGCAGCCCCACAAAGATGGTATTGTTACTAGTCCTACTTGACAGATGTGGAAACTGAGGCATGACTTGTGATCTGGCAGCTGGCAAGGGGTGGCATCTGGATTCAAGCCTGGCTGATGGGGCTGCACAACAACGTGAAAACATTGTGTAAAACACTAAGACCAGTGGCCAGCAATGATCACCCTTACCCCTCCTCCTGACACTTAGAAGAGCCACCTGAAGCCACAGACAAAGATCCAGTATTTATTCTAGAAAGCACTTGAAGGAACCCTTAGACAGTGTGCAGAGAGATATCAGTCCCTGGGGTTCTCAGAACCAGCCCATGTGTGGGCAGTAAAGGCCTCAGTCCCTTCACTTAACAGAGCAGAGCCTAGAGGCAGAGAGAGGGGTGTGGTGGAATGTGGGGAGGGTGTCCCCGGCTCAGGCAGAAGGAAAGATGAGGAAACCACTGAAGATGCTGTCCACCTCAGGGCCTTGGTAAATTCGGCCCTTCAAGGGGTCCTTCTCGATCCACACCTGGTCTCCACGTTGCAGCTGGAGCACGGTACCCCCTGACACCACTTGGAAGAGCCCTTTGCTGTTGGCATCACAGAAGCCGAGAGAACGCAGGAGCCGGCCTCGGGAGGAGAACACAATAGACAAGCAGATGTCCCACTTGGAGACCACTTGGAAGGTGAAATAGTAGAAGCCAGGCACAGCACACACAAAGCGGCCCGAGTGGTTCTGGTACGGGCCTTCTTGATTGGTGATGACTGTGTCAAAGATGACCACGTTGCCGCCCATGGGTGGGTTCCGTTGAATGGCGGAGAAGGCCGGCCGGGGCTGGTCCCTGATGTTGCCTGGATTGCCTTTGATGCCCTTTGGTCCTTGGGGACCCGGGGGCCCAAAGGGCCCACTAGGCCCCGGGAAACCCACGTTGCCTGGTATGCCAGGCGGCCCAGGTTCCCCCTGGTCGCCCTTAAGGCCTCGGATACCTGTGCGGATGCCAGGGGCTCCTGTGTGGGGAAAAACCAGATGGGTGTTGGGGGGTGGAAGTCTAGGACCTGCCAGTCCTCAGGGAGAGGGTTGGGACCCCAGGGAGCTGTGAGCTAGAAGGCAAGAAAATGCCTGCGCCTTTAAGACGCTGGTTCTGACTGGCTGTGTGACCTTGCATGGTAGCCACTCACAGCCTCTGCTTCATCTGCCAAACGGAATGGCATGAACAGTTGTATGCCAGAGCTTGAGTTCCAGGAAATGTGGGGTGCTCTGTTGAGTCCTGCCCATGGCTGTTACCTCACATCCCTCCAGGTCAGTGCAGTGACTCCTTCCTCAAGTTTGGGACCTTATAGGGATGTCTGTATGAAAATTAGTGCCAGTGAGAGTCTTTCTGGCCTGGTGGGGACTGGGAGGTTTGGGATGACAGGAGACTTCCCTTCCCATCTGGTCATGAGCCATTTCCCTCAGTGTGATGGTTTCTGATTCTTGAATGGATTAGAGGGGGGCAGGGGAGCAGGGAGAGAGTCAGGGTGCTGGAAGTAAACAAAACAGTTGCTGTTCACTGGGCTTTCTGCATGTTCCATTTTACAGGTAAGGAAACTGAGGCTCAGAGAGGGTCAGTGACTTGTTTGAGGTCACCCCTCAAGGCAATGACTCTTGAATATAAAATCTGAGGCCTTGTTATTCTGAACAATGGGCACACCACACAGATCTTTCTCATACTCCAAGCAGCTCATTCCACAGGGGAGGAAGGAGGAGGAAGAGGAGGAGGAGGGAAGAGCAGGAAGGAGTCATGGAGAGTCCTGGGACTGGGGATAGGCTCCAGGATGAACTGCACACTGCAAGGACTTTTTGGGACACTCAAGGGGACTTTTGCTTCCCAGGACCAGTCCCAAGCCAAAGCCTTGAGGTTGGCAGGGTGAGGGCCCCAGAGGAGGGTGCTTACCTGGCTCCCCTCGCTCCCCCTTGAGGCCTGGCCTCCCTGGGCGGCCCGGCTTTCCTGCAGCCCCATCTTTCCCATTGGGTGCTCGGCAGACATCTTCAGTCAACATGGAGGCCAGGGTCACAGCCAGCACACAGGCCACCAGCCATCCCCGAGGGGCCTCCATGATGTCCCTGCTGAGACACACACAGGCCCTGAGCAAGCTGGACACACAGAGTCACACGTGTCTGTCCACAGTGAATTGCATATGTGGGAATCTGTGACCCCTATCCTCAGTGCACACCCACCAAGGCCTCGGTGTCCCTCCCATGGATATGCACATGCCCTCAACACCCATAGTCATAGCCAGACCCCTAGACCCTGACCCTAATCCTAGCCCCTAGTCCCAATGCTAACCCTAACCTTAACCCCAGCCCCTAGTCCTAATCCTAGCCCTAACCCTGACCATGGACCCTGACCCTAACCCTAGCCCCTAGCCCCTACCCTACCCTAACCTAGACCCCAACCCTGTAATAACCCCAGCCCCTAGCTCTGACCCTGACTCTGACCTTGACCTTGACCCTAGCTCTAGTTCCCCCCTCTCACTCTGCACCTGAACAGCACAGTATGTGCCCAGCTACACCAGCTGATCTATATACCCACATAGATCTCCCTCCTCCTTGGACACACACAGTCCCACACTCCCACAGATGATGGATCTCATTGAACAAATATTTACCGAGCATCAGTTCTGCTTTAATTACAGTCTCTGGCTCAGATGGCAGAGCTGTGCACGCCCAGGTCTTCACAGACATCTGCCTGCTCTCGGTCCCTTTAAGTATCCATGCTAGAACTGACTGTCCCTGCAATCCCTTCTGCCACTAGGCTCCGACTCCCTGAAATTCTTCCTGGTTTGCTGGGTTCTGGGGTGGGAGGCCAGGACACATGAACTCTATTTAGAATCATGGGTCTGAGTTGACTACCTCTTACCAGTCCCCAAGCTCCAGCTGGAGGATAGGGTTCCTCCACCCACCTGCTCTAGGTCCTGGGTCAGTGTCCCTACACCATCCATCCTCGAGCAGAGCGAGCTAGCAGTCCTGCCCTTCCCTCTTTACCTCAGTTGCCCAGCCAGGTCCAGATACCTTTTTTCCCAGCCCACAGCCCCTACCCACTTAGGCCTGGCCTCACCTGCCTCCGTGGTCAGTTCAAACTGGATGCTTTGGCCCTTCGCTAGACATGGGCCTCCCAGCAGGGGTGTTGCCAGGCCAAGTTTCACATCCCTTTCCACTTCCCTTTCTTGGAACCTGCCCCCTGAACTTCCCCAGGGCCAGAGACTGGCTCGGGAAAATTTGAGCAGACCTCAGCAAGACTGGGACGTGCGGCATGAGATAAGGGATGTCCTAGCCCCATCACAGCTGTGAAGAGTGTGTGCTGGGGGCGGGAGGGGGTGAGCAAGGGAGAAGGGAGCCGGATGGGGCTGTGGGATCCAGAGATGCAAAGACTGTCAGGGTAGAAGTAACCTGTTTTCAAACCTGTAACCTGCCAATCTTTGCCACGATTAGGGAAGACACAGGGGTTCACTGCTAAGCACTTATAAAATAAAAGAGAAAGAAAGAACTGTCCACAGGGGGAAGGGTGGCCACAGGAGGAGAATGGAGCATAGCATCAGTTTTGAGGCCCACCACTTCCTAGCAGGCTGTCTTCGGGAAGTTACCAGATCTTTCCGTTCTTAGTTTCTTTATCTGTAATCTGGGAATAACAGATCCTACCTCAGCAGGTTATTGTGAAATTTTAGTGACACAGCTGCAGAACACTGGGCACCCGATGAATACTTAGTCACCAAGTTTTATCAACATTTCAAAGAATGTTATTTTATTTATGTGTGTGCGTGCATGTGTGCGTGTGCATGTGAGATGTTTGTGTGTCAGTGAGGGTACACGTGCTGTGGCACACATGGGAAAGTCAGAGACCGAATTTCAGAGTTGGTTCTCTCTTTCCACCATGGCATCTAGGATTGAACTCAGGTTGTTGGGTCTTTGAGGTTAGTGGTTTTGCCTTCTGAACCATATCACTGACCCCAACATTTATATATATTTTTTGGTCTTTTTGAGGCAGGGTCTCCCGGTAGCCCCAGCTGGCCTAGAACTCACTATGTAGACCAGGCTGGCCTTGAACTCACAGAGATCTGCTTGCCTCTGCCTCCCGAGTGCTGGGATTAAAGGTGTGTGCCACCATGCTCCACTAACCGCATGACCTCCTGATCCTCCTGCCTCCATCTCCTAAGTGCTGGGATTATAGGTGTGCCCCCTCATACTTGGTTTATAGGGAGTTAGGCATCAAACCCAGGATTTCATGCATCCTAGGCAAACACACTACCAACTGAGGTATACCCAATCCCTTTATTAACATTTTCAGAAAACTGAGATGTGACCTAGCAACAGAGCACTTGTCTTCCATGCACAAGGCCCTGAGTCTCATGCCCAAGACTATTTTTTAAAATATTTTATTTATGGGGCTGGAGAGATGGCTCAGCGGTTAAGAACACTGGTTGTTCT